TATATTTTTCAATTTCAACACATATATTAAAAAGGAAAAAAAATGAAAAAAAAAAACTTTATAATAATTTGTTTGTTTAATTGCTTTTGGTATCCCCGTGTTTTGATCTATTTTGAAAAACTTGGTACTTGGAATCAATTAGTTGGATTTTGTTGACTTGATGCCAATTATTTTTGCTTTTATTTTTATTTTGAGAGAGGATCTCCATTATCTTCTCATTAAATCTTTTAGATACGGATTAGTCGGGACATAACTCCGGATACCGTGACTAGTTACCAAAAAAAACAAAAAAAAAAATGTACGTGTCTCCATACAAATAATATTTTAATTTACCATGGTTAAAACTACAACCTAATTAACTCGTAATTTATATGGTCATTTGAAGCCCCAAAATATACTACAAATTGATTTTCAACTCGATCGCTTCAAATGTGACATTTTTTTGTTTCGATTTAGTATTTCATTCCATTAATAGAGATTAGATGAATTAATGACACGTATACAATATATTATACACCGTGATATTATATTTCTTACACATGCCACTGAAAATGGAACACGAGATGAAATATATATGCAAATTGAGCAAAAATAATTAAATGCCCATATATGGGGACAAAATTAAATTAATTTATTATTTACATAATTAGATACCCTAAACTACCATTGATTTTTAACTTTTAACCATTAAAATTTCCACCGACTTACATATAATAATTTACATTGATTTGCACTGTATAAAAAAGGTGTAAAGCTTCATTTCAACTACTAATTAATGCTAACTAATCAGGAAATATATATATATATATATTTCAAAAGAAACACCAAGATTAATTGAAAATGAGATTAATTCAAAGATTCTTTGAGAAAATTTGTTCATATTCATGACTAATTGGACATAGCAAAAATGGAGTGGCAGAATAATGTTTGAAATATGAGGGGCTTTAATTAGTGAATCTAATTCTAAGATTTTTTTTTTTTTTGGAGTTTTATATATACGATGTTGTCATCTATTTTGAAATATGAATCCCTTAATTAATTAAGTAATTAATTAAGTAATTTGGACTACTAAAACATACTGATATGCCATCAATGACATTCTTATATATTCTTAGGCGTCTCCAATGGTTAGCTATTTGGCTAACTATTATGACGTGGACATGGAAAAGTAAGAGAGAGTAGTCACTAGCTACTAACAAATAGCTTATCTATTTCACGTAGCCCAAGATCGTGTGAGAGAGGTATGTGGGTCCAATAATGTAAAATAGTTATTTTTCTTATCTCTCACATCCACGTCAGCTAACCATATAGCTAGTAATAGCTATTACCATTGGAGATGCCCTTACTCATAAAATGTCAAAGTCAAAATTATGGATGTCAACTAATTAAGAAAATAAAATAATTAAGAATATGAATCAAGTCAAGACTAGATAGATAATTATCTGATATTTTCTTTTCTTGATTTATTAAGTTACTAATTGCTTTATTTTCTGATATGTATTTTAAATAATAATTTCGAAAACAACATGCATATGCACGTGCAAGCCACCTATAATTCCACCATAAACAACCAAAAATAAATAAATGAAAACAAAAATCAACAAACAAAAAAATATACTTTAGTAAACAATTAAATTTAAAAGGTTAATGAAGAAAAAAAAAAAAAAAAAAACTATTTATCTGACTGTGAACAAAAAAGAGGTACGGTTGAGAATGTTTGTCTTTGCCCTGTTCGAATCTGAATAAAATCTTCCAACTTTCAACATTTTTTTTTTTTTATTTTCCTTTTTTCATTTTATTTATTTATTTTTACATAAATAGTATTTTATTTTATTTTTATTTTAGTGTGTGTATTTTTGATTGATCGCTGTCCCCTGCAGTTGATCCTCAGCTGCTTTTTCCTCTCATCTTTCTCTATCGTTCGATACCGTGCGGTTTGGCATCTTTTTGACCTAACTCGCTAACCTGCGCCGTCGCTGTCCCCGCGCACGTTAGAGAAACCCTAACGGCCGCTTCTTTAACAGTGTTTAAATTTAATTACGTAATTAGAAAAATAAATTTAGCAGTAGTACAAATTTAATCACGATTTGTAATGTAATGATGAAAAGGGGAGTGGGCTTTATCTTGGGTGTGAGTTGTCGGGGTGAGTATAATAATACTCCACTATTTAGTTTTATTTATTATTATTATTATTATTACTTCTTTGAAAAAGTGCCAAAGGACATTATCATGTCTCTTTGCCGGGCCCCACCTCGAGACACAAATGCAAAATATTACTACTATTATGTTCATTTGTTTTTTTTTTCCTTTTCCTCGATTTTTCCCCAAAGTTTGTCCAATAAATTTTAAAGTAATTTCATTTTTTTTTTTTAATTTTTTCGATTCTAAATTAGTGCCTAAAAGAAAATTAGGGCTAAGACAATGATTATACGTTGAAATATAATTTTCTTTTATTAAAATGAATTGCATAATTGTATAATTTATTTTTCTCAAAAGAAAATGTGTAGTATGTTTGTAAATTGTTTAGGTGCAATGGGACTCTTTTATTTCGGGTAAAGGTTTAATCAAACAAATTCGTCAATTAGTTTATTTGGTAATGAATTTATTAATAAATTGTAATTTTAACTAAAAATTGTTCATTCTAAAAAAAAAAAAACACCAAAATTAAAATAATAGTGTTGTTGGAAAGGAGTATTAAAAAATAAAAATAATCAACAACTATAAATTGCTGCTAATTGTTAAACATTTATTTCACAATATGTTAATTGAACATGCTAGTCAAACCATCTAATACAATATTTTATATACTATTACAATTAACTATTAGTTATTTGCTATCAGTTAATTGTCAAACAACTCAATAATATAAGTTTCACTTGTTATTTGTTCGACCTTAGCATGAGCATATCAGCTCATGATTGATCTCGTGCTCGTTTAATAAATGAGTCGGCTCGATTTAACTCGTTTAATAAATGAAAAAAAAAAAGATTTGGCTTGAGCCAACTTCTCTAAACTCAAGAAAATTCGGCTCGATGCTTTTAATAAACTTAAATAGTTAAATACCTGTAACGAGTTGTTTGCAAACACGAATATCTATTAAAGAAAAAGTATGATTTACCTATTTCACTTAAAAATTAATTGTTTGCGAACAAGCTCGAATCGATTCATTTAGTGAACAAACTCGATTAGTTTTCCTGCTTCCACTCATTTAATCAACAAAAAAATCGATTTGGAGATCTTAATAAACATCTCCCCCTATATATAATTTTCGAATGCGCTGAGCCTACATGGCTGCTTCTGGTGCTTCGAAATCCTACTTGGCGAAGAATCGTGTTTCGTAATTAGGTTTGGACAAATAATATTGATATATTAATAATTAATAATCTAGGTTCGGACATTCCGTAAATATTATTTAGCTAACTTAGGTATTTTAATATCACTTGTACTAATATAACCCTTTAATTCATTATAATTTTATATAGTGAGACACTAAGTGACTAATATATCCCTAATTTTTGATTTGTATCCTTCAATTAGCTATTGAATTATAAATGTATTTTAAAAGTTGATAACTGTTGTATTTCTTATAGAGTTTACATATGTAATATATCAAATTAATAATCTTTTCATGATCTTCGATTTGACATTCATATTGTATATATAAAATAAATAAATTGTATTTATCTTTATAATAATAAAAAATAATAATATTTAATAAAATTTATTAAAAAAATAAACTATTTCTCAATTGATATATTTATATTTAATGTAGTTATATGTTGTAAGTTAAAAAAATTATTATAATATAACAAAAGTAAGTCACACAAATAAAAAGTGGCATACTGATGAGCAATGCTATAGAGCCCACTTGAATGACAATTTGGGTTACAACATAAGTCTAAATACATTATTTTTTACTTTTTTGACAATGCATTTACACTTAGGTTGTAACCCAAGTTGTCAAACAGGTGAAATAAGAATTCTACTAGTTATACTGTTTTGACAACGTAATTTTCAAAGGAAATTAAATAAGGAAAGAAAATATGGTGATGCTATATAGCCACCCTCCATTACACATTGAAAAATATGTATTATTACATTTTTTAATGCCTCAATTACACATAGTTGTAAATTATGATGTAATGGAGGATGACAAAGTAGCAAAATCCAAAAAAATAAATGTAGCCCACCCGCAATTTTGCCTGAAATAATCATACATATATAATTTTAATTTTCGTCAAATTTATTACATATTGTTTTCCTGCCTCCTGAAAACTGTACTCAATAAACTGTGGCGTCTTATTCTACTGTTTTAAAAGGGCAAAAAGGAAAAGAAAAAAAAAAAAAGCAAGCAGAATAATTTTTGTCCTGCACCATTGCATTTAAGTTTATTCCAACAAATTTCTTTTACATTTGTATTATGCCCCATGATTATTTTCTTCAGTAAATAAAAAGCCATCATTTTTATTTTTTATTTTTAATTTTGATTTATTTACATTAAAAAAAGAGCTACAGAGAGGCCAAAGAAAGAAGCTTCTGTTTTCTACCTCAACAAAAAGACCAGTGCTATTTTTGAGGTGGCCAAAGCAGTAAAAAGAGGAACCAAAAAAAGCTCTCGAGTGAGTATTTCTTGTTCATTCAGAGTTTCTTCTTCTACTTGAGCTGCAAAAGGGAGAAAAAAAAAAAAAAAAAGTAATCTAATCCTTTTTGATGTCTATACCTCAAGAACAGGATTACATAGGGTTGTGCGAGCCTGTAGCCCTGGAGAAAGCCGAGAAAAGTAATGGTCTGAATTTGAAAGAAACCGAGCTGAGGCTCGGGTTGCCAGGCTCGGAGTCCCCTGAGAGGAAGGCTGGTTTTGGGGTTTCTATTTTTGGTAAGGATGAAAACAATTATGGCAATGGGTTTTCCAAGAATTTTGTTGCGGGGGCAAAGAGGGGTTTTTCTGATGCAATAAATGGTTCTGGGAAGTGGGCTTTGGATATTAATGGCGGATCTGAGGGTAATTTGGGAATAAGTGATGGCTTGTTTTCGCCCAAGAGCAGCAGCTGCAGTTTGGCTGGGAGTGGGAGCGAGGTTGTTCCTCCTGTGAAGACTGTTGAGGAGAAGAAGAGTGAGAATGTCAGTAATGCCCCTGCTGCAAAGTGAGTTCTCTATTTCGTTTCTTTCTTTTTCTGTTTGCCCCCTCATTTGATGCAATATTAATTCTTGTTTTTTTTTTTTAGCTTTTCTTGCTTTACCCTGTGGCCTGTGATGATATATATATCTGTTAAAAAAACTTGTAAATGGCTTGTTTATCTGTGGTTGGGTCTGATTAGTGTGTGTGTGTGTGTGTGTGTGTGTGTGTGTGTGTGTGTGTGCTGTACAAAAATATTAATTCTCATATTTTTCCTCATCTCTTGTTGCTGTACAAAATTATTCAACAGTGTTTGCTCTGTGAACTATTGATTGAGGCCATGTGTTAGAAATCCTTGAGGAGCAAAGTCTGCTTCTTGTGTAAGCTGTCCAAGAATAATTCTCTTATGCTTTAGTTTCCTCTTGTTAATATTATCCACTGTTGTTGATTCTTGATTATTGCGTTTAGAGTCGAGTATAAATTTATCGACATGCTTTCCATGATTTAATTACTAAATTTATCGACATGCTTTCCATATATCTTCGAAGATGTTATTTTTGCTGTTGATAGACTTGGTCATTTTTTATTTTTTAAACTATTCACATTACTTCTGTTGCAGGGCACAAGTAGTTGGATGGCCACCAATTAGATCTTTCAGAAAGAACACCTTAGCTACCAATTTACCCAAAAATGAAGAGCTTGGTAAATCGGGACCAGTTTGCATGTATGTGAAGGTCAGCATGGATGGTGCTCCTTATCTGAGGAAGATTGATCTCAAAACTTATTGCAGCTATCCCGAACTTTCATCGGCTCTCGAGAAGATGTTTAGCTGTTTCACCATAGGTAAAATTACAAAAAAATTATCCTTCAGATTTATCCTGACTAGAATATGTTTACCTTTCAACATTACTTAACAAACTCTTCTTTTTGAGTAACTGTAATGTGCAGATAATGATATAGATGGTTTAAAATTCGTACCATTTTTTGTTTCAACTCTTGCATTACTTGGGTGCAGGGCAATGTGCCGGGCAAGGACAGCTAAGCGAGAGTCGTTTGACTGATCTGCTTAATGGCTCTGAGTATGTGCTAACTTATGAAGATAAGGATGGTGATTGGATGCTTGTTGGGGATGTTCCGTGGGAGTATGTTCCAAACCCGAACTGTTGACCGTTGATACATTTATACTTGCTTAGTTATATTATTAATAAATGAAATATTAAAACTAAGGCTTCAATTACAATCATTGTCCTCAAGAATTAGCTTGAATTCTGAAAAAAAAAAAATCTTATCTTTTTAGTTGTCACATACACCTGTGAGTTTTGTCCATGTTCTACCAGTACACTGATCAATATATGTAATTATTGAATTAGAAACATAAAGGGGTTATCCGTAAATTTTTAGATGATTACTTCTTTTTAGGATACATCGAGAGGGTAGTATTTATGATTATTCCTAGTATATACTAATTGCCGAGTAGAGAGTTCAGAATAATACTCTGCTGACTCTCACTCTCTCTCGGAAGAAATCAAAGTCGTAAATATTTGTTGTTTGCAATAAGGTCCTCATAAGTATATATGCAGTTGGATAAGATAGTTATTTCTTATTTTGATTTCTGTTAAACGTTCTTTACATCTGTTTTCTATTCAACGTTCTTTACATTTGATTTCTCTTGAAATGTTGTTAGTTAACCTTCAAGCACTAACTGGATTTTTTCTTGTGCTTCCAGAATGTTCTTGGATTCATGCAAGAGATTGAGGATCATGAAAAGCTCTGATGCAATTGGGTTAGGTACGTCTGAAAACTTTCTTAACTTCTCCGTTTTTCTTCTCCGTATTGTTTTTATCAGTCACCGTATTAGAATGGCATCTGCTCCAATTCAAGAACCCAACAAGAAGGTTCTTTCAAATCAATATCTCAATGATTGTACATATATATATATATTTATACATATTTAATCTTGAAGCATCTTTGATTTTGTGTCTTGCAGCTCCAAGAACCATGCAGAAGTGCCAGAGCCAAAACTAAAGGCTGAGCTCGATGGATCCTTTGGGTTTCAAAAAATCGATAAAATTTTTATCTTATATTTTTATTTTTATTATTGTGAGTGACTAGGTTTCATTACATCTGTAGTGTGGCATGGGTAGGAAATGCTTGATGTTTTTACCATGCAAAGATGATATAAATTGGAGAGACATTAAAATGTTTTGCCATTAATGTGTGCTGAATATGTATTTGCCAACTTGGAGCTTGTTATGTAAATGGAGTTGTGGTAATTTGATATGTTGTGTGTTTGCCCGAAAAAATTTAGTGGAACGTCTGAATATTTATTATCATTATCAATGTCAGATTTGAATAGCTATCTATGTGTGATTGGTGCAAGAACCAGGTTGAATCATTTTACTACAGAACCTCCATAAACTGAGTTTGGTGTTTGTACATAAATGAAGACAATGTGCCTCCAGTTTTTTCAAGCCACATGGAAATATATGAGTTGGTAGAGTTTTTAAACAAAAACGAGATGCTCATGAACTTGAGTTGGCTCGTTAAGGTTTGGGCTATCAACTGAGATGAGCTCGTCTTGTTAGGCTTGAAAAATAAGATTTTTACCTAATTTCCCAAGCTTTTAGTATAATTCAGTTGATTAAGATTCGAGCATTAATGAGTCAAGATCAAGTTCTTTTATTGGCTCGGTCAAGTAAAAGCTCGGTCTTAAGCAATGAGAGTAGAGTTTGAGCGCTACTTGGCTCGTTTACATTTATATGTGTAAGGGAGTTTTCATAACTGTTTTTTTGTTGTAAAACTCAAATTAATTTGCGATTTTAATTTCTTTTTTTTTTCTATATAAAACGATGAGTGTAAGAGGGTCTAATCTAAACGGGGAATCTCAAAACTCTCGTCAAAAAAAAAAAAAAATCATTGTTTTTGAGAAAAAATATTATTAATTAGAATATAAGATCGAGCACAAGAATGTTGTTTTCCATTTTGTTGATACAAAATGTAATCATAAACATCTTATTTTGGCGGGCCTAGAAATCAAATTATTTAAAAGTGTTATGCAAATATTCTTCATGTGGCCAAACAAAAACACCAAAAGCAGCAGAAGAGAATAACAAAACTGTCTTTCCATACCGCAAAAGTACACAAAGCAAAGAACACCAGAAAAACAAGTAAAAATCCTACAACCACTTCAAAACACATTCATGTATAAACATATCCAAAGTTTACATAGAGCTGTAGAAAGATAACAAAACTTCAAGGCAGAATATCATTTCATGTTCCCGGTCTAGACACCTGAAGATACACCATCTGTGTATACCCGTTAAATACAGAAGAGTCCAACTGTAACAACCCAAGCCTTCGAAATAAACCGTACTTACCATCCTCCACAATCGGGCTAGGGGCACGGGCCGGGTCATATCTCGTCTGATGAGTGAGAGAGGGGCCCGCCACTGGGGGCAACTCCCAGTACACGTCGAGAACCGACTCGACAAATCTGCTGTTCTGAAAATGTTCGTTGTAAGAAATTGGTTTGTTGCTGTGGTTAAAATCGTCCCGCATGTACCCTCTCACGCCCCACCATTCTTCCCCGGGCCCACACAGCTCGTTTATATCGACAGCTTTTTCCCAGAATTTTTTTCGTCTGTGTCTTATCCTGGCCTCGTCGCTTTCTTTGAAGCAGCTGTGTCCACCGCCTGAATAACACATATTAAATCGCAAAACAAAACGACTGCATAAATCAAGACTCATAGAATATGGAAAATTTGATAAGAAAAGGTTTTTTTCCCTTCATGTAAGATTTGCAGATGTTTCTTTCTTCACCTTTCATTCTACTGATGAATGGAAAGAAATCCAAAACAGTAACAAATGGAAAAACAGAAATTCAGTAAGAAAATAAAAGAGTTTTTGTCATATGATGGCTACTCCTCATGCTTTAAAAATGAGTTCTGGAATCATTAAAACCAGTAAGTTCTGGATTCATTCAAGTGTGAGTTTGTGTTATAAAAGTGAAGCATATGCAATGTCAGGGCACATTAAAATCTTAATAACCCATCTCATCTGAAAGTGAAGGTTGAAATCAAATCAACCAGGAACTTATAAATATTTAGGCAATGCAGAGAAAGTGTATGCATTTGGCTAAGATACACAGGCTATACATAATAAAGAGAATGCACCTCTTACGTAAAATTGATCACAGATTTGTCTGAATGAATAATGGTCACCAGTTCCAGTATCATAATTATCCTCAAAAACCAGATGCTTGAAACCAGCTTTCAGTGCTTGCTTTAATCTTCTCATCAATGCATAAGACCAAAAAACATAACAAAGAAAACTCATAAAATAAGCACAAATAAAATAATTGTAAATACAAAGAAAACTCGGTGCTCTTCATTTTAAGAACCACATCTACCTTTTTAGTTCATTTTGGTGGTCATCAAAGAAGACAAGAACCCGACTGCGGTCTTTAATCCCGTATTTCCTCATCAGCCCTCCCCATTCTATGCTACCAAAATCTACAAAATCTTTTCCAGCAAAATATGTGCAATTCCCATCGACATAAGCAGGACCTTTCTTCAAGTATTTCTCTGGATGACGTGGCGAAAGTGAGACGATGGGTTTATGTGGCATTGCTTGCCTCAAAACCCATGTAGAGTGTCCTTTAAAGGCACCACTCTCGATCATCAAGTCTGGTTGCAGCCACCTTGTGATAAACCAAAGCCCAAAACTGTGGTCGAAGCCCATCCCATACATGTTGTTCTGAATGGGCCGGGTCTCGTAGATTGGCACAAACTCCTCAAGACCTCTGAGCAAATCCTTAGATGTCCATTCCACATTCTCACCGTGTTTCGATCTGCCTTTTGACAAGGAAAGGTAATGTATGAGTATAACGATGTTGAAAACATCATTACCGTTTCTTAAAGGGATTACACATACCAGATGTTGAACAATTCTAGATTGTTGTTTTCAAAGAACAGTCGAACTAATTTCTTGAATGAACAAAAATAGTCAAGCCACAGAAATTCATGACCTTTGCCAGAAGAAAAAAATATAAAATAATCTCTACAAAACTATTGAGTAACAGCAATAACAAATTTCGGGTAATTTTCGTAACAGTATTTCATTAGAGCAGCTTCTTATAATCAGGTTGGAAGTCCTCTAACCGAAAGCAGAACAAAAAACCGCAAATGGGCTAATAAACAGAGACTAATAGCTAAAGCTAATCCTAAGATCTCAGTCATCTAAATCAATAAAGAAAGATAAAAACTAATCTATTTCACTAAAGATGAAGACGGGAGTTTACCCACATTACCATAAGCACTAGCAACAAAGAAATGTATTCATGTAAACGTTCCAAATAGAACATAAAAACCATGGATTATTATAGCAACGCTATATTTGCTCTGACCCAAATAATGCAGAGAAAGAAAAATAGGGAAAACGACAGAGATCAAAGCAGAAGAGTAAGGCTCTTACACCAGGGCACGCCGAGGGATCCAAAATCCGACTCCAAACCATCAAACCCGAAGAACTTCAACCGCGATATGTGATCGGCGGATGAGGCCGAGATGCAGACCAAATCTCGCGAGTGGATAATCGCGGACGATATGGCAATGACAATTAGCCCGATTAGAATAATGGGCCACAGGTATCCGTTTCGGGTCAGATAATTGGAGATCCACACGGCCGCCGGTATGTGCTTTCGCGTCTTGGACTCGTCGCCTGCTTCGTCGCCTCCGTTGTCCTCCGCTTTCCCGACATCCTCGCTGGCGTGCGGCGGCCGCCGCGGCGAGAGGACTCTCTCGAGCATTTTCTTCGCCGCCGCCATTATTACACTCAGTGCGTATTCGGTGTGTTTATTACTGAGATATGCCGCGTTAAGCTGCACAGCACGTCACTGAATCACTGGGATTTGCCTTTGGGAGGACGATGATTAATTTATGATAAATCTCATTTTTTGCCCCAAGAAATGAGTTATTACTTTTTTGCTCCCTTTAATGCCTAATGAGTATATAGTAGGCTAATTTGGCATAATTGTTTAAGGATTCAATTAAAAAAAAAAAAATCAATCAAACTTCAATTTTAACTAATTCTAACCCAACTCTATTTTTCTCAATATTATCAACTAGTACAACACCCGTGTATTACACGGGTGCTTGTTGAAAAATTATTCTTAGATTTTAAAATTAATGAGAAAACTATATTAAATTTAGTTTACTTTTTTTTTAAAAAAAAATATATATTACTATATATTTTAGAATGATATGTGTTACTGATGACTTACATGCGTTATATTACAATAGTTTTTATAAAATATATGATATAACTACTTGATATAT